TCATCTAGACTCAGAATCAGGGCCAGATGGGAGAAACCATGATGCAGGTAGGGATCCCAATTAGAGAGCAGAGCACAATAATAGAGAGTAATTCAGGGTGAGAAGCACATGAAGGACTAGCCGGATGGTATCTGCAAAGTGGACCCTCGCTCCTGGGTTGGGATTGGGAGGCAGAAATCCTGTCCTGGGAAGGGGCCAAGAAGAAAATGGGAACACAGGGCTTCTGTCCCAGCAGGGCCCCCGAATTCTAGCTGTGGCAGCAGACGAGGCATTTAGGAACAAGGACTAAGTCATATGCCTCTCTAGGAGACCCAGAGCCCATGAGGCCACCTAGACTCATGAACAACAAGGCATGAGCACAGGTATCAGCACTGGGCACTGCTTCAGGTGTAGACCTTTGAACCCTAGAATGAATGGCTGGGTTTAACAAATTATCTTTGGCCTCAGATCAGGATTGGTCCTGGGAACATGGGGAAACTCACCAACCTGTGCACAAAAGGAAGGAGGAGAATTCAGAGGCAGAGGGCCGTCCTGGGCCGGACACAAAAAGCAGCAATTCAGCCTCAGCTGCCAGGTGCTGCTGGGGCCAGCCCGCCCCGGTTGCAGCTCGAAGGCAGTCAGGAGCACTGCTCTTAAAGAAAAAATATGTATACTGATAAAATTTACCTTTACTTTTCTGTTTATCCTCAGATGTTAACATTATACTTAAATATTCTGAAAAGCAAAACTAGTATTTTTATTTTATTTTATTTAAAGATTTTATTTATTTGTCAGAGAGAGAGAGAGAGCACAAGCAGGGGGAGTGGGAGAGGGAGAAGCAGGCTCCCCACTGAGCAGGGATCCCCGGTATGGGGCCCGATCCCAGGACCCTGGGATCATGACCTGAGCCAAAGGCAGATGCTCAACCGACTGAGCCACCCAGGCATCCCAAAACTAATGTTTTAATTGCCATCATTTTTATGTTTCTTTCTGTTTATGAAGAGGACTGCTAGGACCTCAGTTTTAGATCTGTCAGAAAATCTCTTTTAAAACTTGTCTGCAACTGTCTGGTACCTTTTTGCTTTGCTTAGTGTTACCTTCTGTTCATAGGCCTTGCTGCTGTTGGTGAGCTTGGGGCTGACATTTTTTACCAATTACTTGGTCAAACCATATGCAATTCAGATATTCGACTGTCTTTGTCTTTTAGAAACTGCACTTTCATATGGGTGAACTGACTAGTTCCTGCTGTCTCTTCCTTCTTTTCCTGTACACAGCAAACACTCCCTTCATTAAGGAAGGGACCCGCCTGGGTGGCTCAGTCAGCTAAGCGACTGCCTTCGGCTCAGGTCATGATCCTGGAGTCTCAGGATTGAGTCCCACATGGGGCTCCCTGCTCAGCGGGGAGTCTGCTTCTTCCTCTGACCCTCCCCCCGTCGTGCTCTCTCTCACTCATTCTCTCTCTCTCTCAAATAAAGAAATAAAGAAATAAATAAAAATCTTTAAAAAAAAAAAAAAAAGGAGGGCGGGGGAGATAGTCTGCTCAAAGGACCCGTGTCTTCCACACAACACTGCTGCTCAGTGCTTCCCCCTCAGCCTGCAGTTTCTACACCTCCTGTCTTGGCCCTAATGAGCTGAAATTTGAATGTACTACTTTATCATCAGTCAGAAGCTGACATTTTACCTTGACCGACAGAGCTTTAGGCCATAGAAATTTCAGTTTATGTCAACAGTTTTCTAAAGAGACTGTATCTTCAGAACCTCCTTTCCCCAGTATTTAGCTAAGCCAAAAGTAAGATTTAAAAAGGGAGCTGCAAATGCAACCTTATTTGATATGTTTTAACCTATGCCAGGAATTATAAACATAGAAAAATCTGACACTCAGTAAGTAATTGGAGACCAGACAGACGTTTCCTTTCCCCAGTATTTAGCTAAGCCAAAAGTAAGATTTAAAAAGTTTTATCATGGGGCACCTGGGTGGCTCAGTTGATCTCAGGGTCCTGGGATCAAGTCCTGCATTGAGCTCCCTGCTCAGCTTCTCCCTCTCCTTCTGCCCCTCCCCCTGCTCCTGCTCTCTCTCTCTCTCACTCTCCCTCTCAATTAAATAAATAAAATCTTTCAAAAAAAGAGGAAGATTTTAAAAAAAATAAAATAAAAAGTTTTATCACACCTAGGACAACCAACTCAGTGGATTTTTTCCTATGTGTTTAGGTTTATGTGGATTTCTGCACTTGCATGCTGTTACACATGCACACACATGCACATGAGTAGGGTCTACATTTGCAGAAAGGCAGGCCAAAGTTGGGGATGCCATCTCTTTAACATAACTGTGTTCTCTGCACAGAGCACAGGTTAGTACGGTGTTGCTATACGGAAATGTGTTCACAGCGCGACAGCAGGTTGAAAGGGGCGCAGACTACTATACCTGAGATATTAACATCCCCTCTTCTTTTGTACTTCCATCTCCCAACATTATCTTCTTTTGAGTTCTTCACCAAGGTATGCCACATCTGTTTTTGTCATTCAGTATATTCTTTTACACTTCACACTTCATTCTGAGCTGTGTAACCTGGAGATGCGTTCTCACCGGGCTTGCCTTGTGGAATCAGGAGGTGCTCCACTCTAGCGATGCTTGGGGTGTTCCATTTCTCACTGCTGGAGACACAGAGGGGCTAGAATGGAATGAAGAAGTAATAAACAAGTGACTGAATGACTAGAGGGACTGATTGATGAATGAAGGTTGAGGGAACCCAAATTTCTCTCCACTGAAGCAAGTCTTGAACAAGAGGGTCTGTGGCAGCCGTCTACAGTGCTGGACAAATAAGGCTTGGGAAGAGAGCATCAGTGCCATGCAACACAAATCACGTTGGGGGGAATGATATGAAATAAAGAAAATTCATGACTGTAATGAATCATTTAAAAGTCTCAATTTGACAGTATGTTAGAAGGCTAGCAAAGTTTTTCTGAGTAATAGTATCTTAATGAAAACTCAGTTGTGCTTGAAATAAACATTTCCCAGTTTCCCTTAGGATAGCCTTATGCCTTTCAACTTTTATCTGCAGAAAGTTCTTTCTTAAAATTCCCTTAGATCTTGTATGCTGCAGCTTAAACAGATCACTCCTGCTGCATTGTTACTAGAAACAGTACTTGATCACATCTTTGCCTCTCACACAGGACCTAGCATATGCTGACAGATTTCCCCTAGCCATTAGCCACAGCAAACATACTGCTCTACCCTGTAAACACTTGCCTCGGCTTCTCATCGCACAAGAGTTATACCACACTTCTCTCTCATGTTTCTTCTCTTGATGATGTTAAAAACCTTTTCCCCCTTCTACCCACCTGATTGGTTGGTGCTAGTAATTAAGTGATCTATTTTGAGGCTTCTCAAGAAAGCACCAAGCAACTTCGGGTTAGTTGCTTATCCTGTGTGTGACTGTTTTCTTACCCACACAATAAATATATTAATACCATCTTTGGGTATTTAGTAATAAATATTAGAAATAATATAGGTAAAAAGCCTTGAATTTTAATGGGCCTATAATACACACTCAGTAGAGGTAGCTTTTTTGTTCTTATTGTAAATTATATTTATTTATAAATATGTCTTAACTCCTTCACTGGGTTTATAGTCTCTCAAATGCCTATGATGTAGCAGATGCTCAGTTAATGGATTATTGAATCAATAACTGAATAAGTATTACAAGTTGCAGAACATGCATGTAGAGAGGACTCTCTTGTCTGTAGCAAAGGCTGCTGATCATCCCTATTGCCTGTTTAGGTTTACTCTGGCTTGTTGGGGCAGGCTGGTGTCATCCAGAAGATCAATTCTAGGTATAGGTTGGTACTAAAGGCCTTCTGGGGTTAGATTGTTTATGGGCTCTTCCTGGAAAACTCCATCTACTTGAAAATAGAGGAAAAACTGCGTTGGTCCCTGATTTTATCATGCCATTAACATAACAAAAGAAAATGTTCATGCATCCAAAAAGAATTTATTATGTGTCATACGTCAGCAAATCTACAGTAAATTGGAAGCAGATTCCTCAAAAAGACCAGACTGCCTAGATATTGATGCATTTGACTATACGCTTCCCTAGATGGAGATTATAATAGCACTAAGATAATAGTAGCAACTGCCATGTTGGGATGTGTGTGTGTGTGTGTGTGTGTGTGTGTGTGTGTGTGTTAGGATCGGGTCTGATTTTCCCATTTAACCGGAGAGAAACAGAAGCTTGAGTATGAAATGCCTCCCCCTGGAGTTGCCTGCAGGTGACCTGTCACCCCTGGGCTTTCCCTGATAGTGGCTGCCTTACTCCTAAGCAGCACAAGTTTGGGGCTTCTTTGGAGACAGGGATGTGGGCACAGAAATATGTTGAAGACTACCAATTAGTCTGTAGAAAGAATCAGATCATGGGTCCTGGTAGATCCTTGCCAGTTAGGCTCCAAACAACATCCCAAGACTGGGGACTCAGCCTTCACTGTGGTCTCTCCTTTTTCATGTCAGGTGTTCCTTCACATTCCAATACAACACTTCCTAGTAGGTTTCAGGAGGATTAAGCAGAAATACAGATACAGTATTTCTGGATACATGAGTTAAGAAAGAAAAGCATAATATTCTCTGATACTGGTGAATAGTTTTCATGACCCATAGTATTTTGTGATGTAGGTGGTCAAATCAGGGCATAAATATCAGAGGATACAAACTTTGAATCAGATGTTTATATAACATTTCTATTGCTGTACCTGAAGCACATCATTACGTTATTCTTAGATGTTTAAGTTTTCAAAATTGTAAAAACTGTATGTGCTGATGACTCTACCTGTCATACTCTGCTGACCAGTGTCTGTGGTCTGGAATTTATTCAAAGGGCAAGATGAAAAGAAGCTTATTAGGGTGTACTCAGTGAAAGAAGAAGGTCTCCCTTCAGTTCTTAAAATCTGGATGTAAGTCTGGCCCAGTGACAGTGGGTTCCTGATTTATTGCTATAGACTGACAACTGTGTGCTCATTTTTCTACAAACCAGTGCTTTTGGCTGCCCATATTCAGACATGAACTTGAAAAAGGAGGCAACTCTTCATGATCGTCTGAGAGAACAAACACAGGCAAATTTGGAATCCGACTCTTCACATTCGAAATCGAAGAACCTCTGCAGTTTGAACTTCAGCGGAAAACATGAAAAGGTGAACAGTCAGCCCAGGTAAGGACCTTTTTGAAAATGTAAACGGGAAAGTAAACCATGTAGAATAGTAAAAGAACAACATTTTTAATAGTAATACATAGTTCCTTATATTTCTTTGAAATAGTTTTGTTTGGTTTTGTATATTATTACATTCACTGGCTCATGGAATTCATCTAAGGCTTGATGTTCATTTAAAAACCACTTTTTATGTCTTCGTTCTCAAAAATTTGGATTCATTTCTTTCTAAATGTACCTATTACATGTGAGTGATAAGAAAGTGCATCTCATTTTTAAAATTCCCTAAGATTCCCTTTTGCCTTGAAAACATCTTTATTCAGAGATGGGCTCTCTTTAGGACGTGGAGTATTTGCATCTACTCCATCCTACCAGGATTTCCTGTCCTGCCTGGTATCTGTCTTGTCCTTGTTAGTCCAGATGCACCTCCCATACGATTTCATTGATTCATTGGTAACACATTATCCTTTTGTTCTTAAATGCGAACTTACCCTTGAAACATCAATTTCCAATTTTCATTTACATGTTACCATTTTCTAGGGAGCTGCAAATGCAACCTTATTTGATATGTTTTAACCTATGCCAGGAATTATAAACATAGAAAAATCTGACACTCAGTAAGTAATTGGAGACCAGACAGACAAGGAGCCAAGAAAGGCTGGTCAGAGAAGCAAGGAGTGAGTATTTCTCAGACCCCACTGCAGGCAGAAGGCACTCCTGTTCAAGCCCTTGAGAGACAGTAGACCCTCCCTGTGTGAGCTTTGAAGGAGCGGCTACTTGAGGGGGGCTGTTGTTTCTCCCCATCCTCCAGAGCCTTGCTCTGTTCATTCAGCACCATATGGAAGGAAGAGGCGTGCGCCTCTCATCATGCGGGAGACCCAGCTCCCGCTGGAACAACTTTCTGCCCATTTATGCCTTCAGTCCGAGCGAGGCTGCTATCTCCCTCCCAAGGAGACACCTGTCCATCGGGAGAGTTTGGTGCAAAGGGTGGGTTTTGTTCTTTTTCAAGCAAATGTTGGTATAACGTATTTGGGTGACATTTCCTTCTTGTTGAGCAGCTGATTTTGGTTTTGATCTCTCCGTACAGCACTATGCAGATTAGCTCTACTTTACTGCACCATTTATTTCCTATGGATACACATGTCTATTTTTGTAGCTGTATCTTGCATTTATTATTATTTATTATACACCCAGTTCTCTTGTTGAAACTTCACAGGGTCTCGCTGTTCTTTACTGCTTTTTCCCACCCACACTGTTTACGAGTCTAAGTAGTTGAGGGGCTCCGGTGTCCTTTCCATGTCCCGGTGGAGGGAGAATTTTTTCCTTAGCTTTTTTAAAAACTGTTTTCCAAGGAATGGTATTTATTTATCCCAGAATTACTGGGACCAGCACATCCTTTTGCTCATATTCTTTTTTGTTCTGTTACCTTTTTATTTTCCAAATAAAAACTTAGTTTCTCTTGTAAACATTTTAGACGTTTGTCCTCAATGTCAAAAGTCGGGGAGATGAAACAGATCTTTGAACCGCTTTTAAAAAAAACTGTTAAACTGCCACATTCTCTGAGGCTAGCTAAGCCTTTCTTTTCAGCAAACACAGATATATGGCCTCTCCTCTCTTGAACTCCTCTTAGGAACTTAACTCTTTTCAATATATTATTATATGCTTTACTATTTTGAAGGGGATTTACACTGAAATAGACCAGACAAGCATAATTGCTACACATAGAAAGAAGAAGTAGAGAATGTTAGTTGATAACCAAGCAGAAAAATCGCACATGACCCTATCCCGTGGAATCCTGTTTCATGTATGCCCAGTGCTGTATAAGGAACTGGGTGATGGGAGGGGAGTCGTACTGTTCACATCTTGAATTCTTAAGCCTTCTTTTGTTTTCCAGTCTCAAGACCAAAGCCCTCCTTGCGCTCCAGTCCCAGCCCACTTTTTTTCATTTAACCAGCCCTCATGACGATGTTTGCTTAGTATGGGCTGGAGTGCCCACTTTGATTCTACCCCCATCTCTGTGACATCCTGCTCATGGTCTAGAATTCCAGGGTGGTGGGGGGAAAAAGCCAGGAAATTATCAAGGAATCATAAGTAAGGCTGATTATGAGCAGAGAAAATATATTTTAATTCTCTTTACAGTTTACTTGTAGTGGTTTCCTGGGGCTGACTTTTCCCTAACTTAAATCTTTACTCTTAAAAATCACAAGGTAGCAGATATAGGTGGAGACTATTTAAATTCCATCTCTTTCTTCTACCTGTTGAGAGTGATTTTTACCTGGCTCATGTCCGAGGATAGGCGTGGGGGTTAAATTAGAGGAAGTTAGAGTTAGAGTTTCCATCCCTCCTCCCGTCCGTCCAGCCAGCCATTCACCGGCCCGTCACTGAGCCCCGGACGGGCCTCCTCCCGTCCGTCCAGCCAGCCATTCACCGGCCCG